CCCCGCCCCCCCCCCCCCAAATCGCCCCGATTTTTGATTAGTAGGCCTATGTGTCTTTAAATTGTTTTCGCACAGGCCCCTTGGTGTACCTCTTGAGCTTCGAAGGAAGGTGCATCATATTTACGCGGGAAGCAACAACTATCGTTCGTACCTGGCGACCACTATCCAAACGAAAACACACCAAGAACGAACAACGTGTGACATCAAACGTAGAGAGACTGACTGACATGGGCACACACACAAAAAAAGGACGGAAACCGTGCCGGCAGCAACAACACCAACCACCACTCATATCCAAGCATAAACATACCTGCTGGTAGGAAAGAGACACAGAATGCTACGGGAAGGAACAACAACCTCCAAACTAATAACACACGTGGCGCGTAATCTAGCAGGCTAAAAATGTGAAGGAGGCCAAGGACGGCAATGCAGGAGAAGACAAAAGTACGAAGCCGGTACCAATGAAGTCTATAGGTCAGTCAGACAGAACCCTATTGACCTTCAAAGAAATGTACACCAACAAGCGACTCGTCAGTAAAACAAGAAATACGAAGGAAGCTAACATCGATTGGAAGACACTGCTACTACTACTATGCTACTACTACTACTAGTATGGGCAGGACAACCCATGGGCCAAGTGAAGAACAACGGAGTGACATCGTGCCGGAGGCAGCAACAACCTTTTGCACTCAACGAAAACAACTCAGACAAACAACCACGAAAACAATCCAAACAAACAACCACGAAAAATACACTCTGGAAGACAGAGCAACATGGGGTGGCACGCAACTACTGCACAGCAGCACGATGATCGAAGACATTACGTTGTCCCGCAGCTACCACTACAAAAAAACGTAGATCACTCCCCGTCCAACACACGCGCTCATCCGTGACAAGAGGCATTGTAGGTACTCTTGGTGTTTTCTGAGGAAGTCCCAACTTCGCCTCTCCCGCCACTTTCTGGAGTTTCCTCGTGAGGGTGGCGACGATTGAATTGTTGCCCAACCTGTGGACAGTTCAAAGAGCACCACATAAGAAAGGTTACAGAGGACCTTTCGATCTCCAACCAAACGTCGTGGTCGTATCCACATCGGGCATAGCTTTGCGACCAAACATGGCATGGGAAAAGTCAGCACACCGGGTGGCTTTGTCGTCTGTTCGCCTGACGCATTCCTTAAGGTACAGGTGGGCGTTGGCGAAGGCTTCCTCATGGATCCCTTGTCGATTGTTTTCTCTGTATGCATACGACAAAGCAACGGTTACCCGGTGGCTCGTCAGGTAATCAATCGGTGGCTCGTCAGGTAATCAATACACGCAAACTGTTTCGAAAACAAAAAGATATTCGCAGCACGCCATTCGTACGTACTGTAGTGGGACGTGGGCGAAATACCGTGAACAAAATCGAATGCGGAAGGGATCTGGTGGCCAATAAAATGCGAATTACGGGCCGCCCCCGGCCAAAACGCGAGAGCAAAGGTTGTAGGGATGGTCGTAAAAAGGTTGAGATACAGTCGATGAATTCCATGAAAGAAAATTGATGCATTGATGTAAGTACGGAACATGACTTCTGTCTATATGCATGTATGTGAGAATGCCACGGTACAAAGCTACGGTATCCTTCATCGTAGTTTGCTTCCTCACTCCTCCGTATCCTCTCACCGTCTGCTGTCATGTGGGGAAGGCAGTCGCTCGGCAAACCCACTTTCCGTGGGTGTTTTGGAGGGACGATGCCCCTTGAGTAACGAGGATTTCTTGCCCATCGACATGCGGCGGGGCATTACCTACCCCTATTCATTGCCTGTTCCCCTACCACCCAGGTTCCCGCGAGTGAAGAGGTAGCGACATCCCCGAGATATGGTGAAACGACCAAAAGGGAGCCCTCCAACATCCGATCAAAGCGTGCGATATATATATATTTGTGTCTGGAAATTCAAGGGGTTCGCGCGTTGGTTTGGCAATGACCAAGGTCTCACCCCGATGAGCCTCAGGCACTCCCGAGGGTTGGACACTCCGTCCACCTGCCAGCCCAAGACCCTGCGTGCACATCTCGCCTGCGTACAGCAGTCCTACTGCCTCACCAAACTGCTATGTGGTGCAAACGATAGAGGTAGCACGTTAAATAAGCCAACGAATGAACTGCGAATGGTAAGTAGAAGCAATTTAGGCCGCATGCCCCGTCTATAGGGGGGATGGCAACCGCTCTTGATATTGACCGGTTGGATTCGAAAGCGACAAAAACAGCATCCACAAAGTAGGTCCTTTCGGTTATCGCATAAGGGACTCGAGATTGTCTCCGCCTACAACCACCCCTTTCCAACAGAGATACTATTTTTCCGTCCATGTGGACCCTTGCAACTGGCGGAGACAGAGGCCGGTGCCTTGGCAGTATTTTCCCACTGCCAGGGGGAGGCTATTTCCTCTCGCGATATGTAAACAAGGAGAAGAGGGTAGAAAGAGAGAGTGGCCAGAGAGAGCAGAAGGAGACGAGAGTCGAAGACTCTCCGTTTTTCTCTCGGAAAGTGGCCAGGGACTTCGGAAGAGACAAACCTCCGACGGTACGTTTCCTGTCACTCTACCAGTGACAAGATACCCCGATGGAGCTATATCTTTCTACGCTTTGTATGTGTACTCATGGTTGGTTATACTCCCGACAGGTGTCCTCCACCCCCCCCCCCCCTCTATGCGCCACAAGTCCATCTGTGCTAAAAATGTGCTTGTGGCGGCCAGAGATATGAGTGGCTCATGGAGACGCATGTATCGGAGTTAACCTACCTGGTACAACATCATCAACTCGGCCTGATCATCGTACAACGCGTATTCAAAAACACGGAGTCTTCAGACGGAGTAATGATAGATGTGGTCCATACTAGTATAGTCTAGAAAAAAAAGTATTTCGCATGATCATGCTCGCGTAGCATGCTATGCTGTGGGGTTAATGAGGGATAAACTTGTGGTGAGCTGACCCTCCGGCAAGTTTGTCTATTCGTCATGATTAAAATCCTGATGAGAGATAGACTTATCATGAAGTGACCCTCCGGCAAGCCTGTCTATTCATCATAAAATAAGATTGCGATGAGGGATAAATTTGTCATGAGGTGACCCTCTGGCAAATTTATCTATTCATCAATGATAAGATCTTGATGAGGGGTGAACTTGACATGAGGTTACCCTCTGGCAAATTAATCTATTCATAAAAAATATGATCTTGATGAGGGACGAACTTGTAATGAGGTGACCCTCTGGCAAGTTTATCCATCCATCAAAAATAAGATCTTGATGAGGGATGAACTTGTTGTATTGATGTGGCCCTCTGGCAAGTTTATCTATCCATCAAAAATAAGATCTTGCGATAGCGGTGGTTTTGTTCAACTCTCCTCGCGAGTGTTTCCCCAAACACATACTAAAAAAAAATAACCAACCAACCACCGTGGCTACTGGTCCTGTGCTAAATATAACACAGAAAAGTCTAATAGTCGAAAATGTCCCCAAGTTTCGGAACAGATAGACATGGCAACTGTTAGGAACGACAGAATAAATCAATCGTATCATTTCCGGGCCCGAGTTCGTTTTCGGTTGCTAGTACGGCAGGGTAATTGTAGTTGAGCATCACTCTGTGTCGCAGCAGTACGCGACTTGGGTAATGGAACCTCCTTTAGGCGCCTTCTTCGTCGTTTCCTGGTTTTGTTCAATGGTTCCCAGCCACTTTGCGTAACCAATTTTCGACTTGAAGGTTCTTGAGGAGCAGTTGCCTGTTTTCGTTTTCGTTTCCCTGTTTTACTGGGTGATCTTGGGTCTCCCATTCCACTGGGGCACGAGACGAAGATTTATCAGACTGCACGATGTCCAAACCACAACGGATTCGGTAGGCAGTTATCGTTTCTTGACATTGTGGAATTTCGTCTGCTCTATATTGAAGGTCTGACTCAGGGCCGTATCCTCGAAAACGCGAACAATAGTTGTAGTTGTACGGGGTTTTCGGCCCCCTAACACTCTTCTTATGGCTTACCACTTTGTCAACGACGTAGGATTCAATTTTCGGTTGAGCTTCGTCGGGATGGTCTAGCTCGGGCAACGGAATCTGGCGTCCTAAGAAAAACTCGGAAAGTTTATCAAAATCTGGCGCAGGTGGCGTTTTCCTCGCGTAGTACCGTTTAATGTGGGCTAAATGGACCGAAACTTCACGAGTTTCGTTCTGGCGTCTCACTCTATATACCACCGGTGATAATTTAGAGCAGATGACGAAAGGTCCTCTCCACGGTAGCAATAATTTCGGATTTGGTCCATCCGAACCCTGGTATGGGCGGTACACAAGTACTAGATCACCAGGGATAGGGCGCATTTTAGCGTTCTTGGCAGCTTGTATTTGTGTGCGTTCCGATAGGTTACGGNGAAAGGTCCTCTCCACGGTAGCAATAATTTCGGATTTGGTCCATCCGAACCCTGGTATGGGCGGTACACAAGTACTAGATCACCAGGGATAGGGCGCATTTTAGCGTTCTTGGCAGCTTGTATTTGTGTGCGTTCCGATAGGTTACGGCGCGCTAGTTCAAAAGCAACCTGCAAATTTTCCTGTGTAGCTTTAGAGAATTCCTCGGTATTTGCTGTTGTACCCACATGAGGGATGCCGAGAATAGTGTCAACTGGTGGTCGTGGCGTCCGTCCAAATATAAGAAAGAATCGTGTTTCATGCATGGTGGAGCTAAATGACGGGTTGTAAGCCAGTTGGACAAAAGACAGCAGCAGTGATGCCCAGTTATCGCGGTTCATGGAACTATGCATGGCAAGCATTGCGTGCATGGTAGCATGTACTCGTTCTGAAACAGAATTACCTTGCGGACGGTATGGTGTAGTGCGGGGTTTTTTATAGTTCAGAATACGGTGTAGTTGCTGGAGTACACTGTTCTCAAATTCAGGTCCTTGGTCGGAATGCAACATTTCAGGCGATCCCACGATGCTGATGATGCGGTCGATAATGGCCTGCGCGACAGTGATTGCTGACTTGTTGAGAATCGGAGTCAACACGGTGAATCGGGCTAGGTGGTCCATCATGGACAGGACATATTTGCACCGTACCCCGGCGGCTGAAACNCCACGATGCTGATGATGCGGTCGATAATGGCCTGCGCGACAGTGATTGCTGACTTGTTGAGAATCGGAGTCAACACGGTGAATCGGGCTAGGTGGTCCATCATGGACAGGACATATTTGCACCGTACCCCGGCGGCTGAAACTGATTCTACTTTATGTTCAACTAGGTCAACCGAAAAACGTTCGTCGGTCTTTGTACTGGTACATGTCCCGTTGGTAATTTGTTTCGATTATGGACTGTTTTTCGACGTTGACAGGCTTGGCATTCTTCACACCAAGTACGGACGTCCCGATTCATGGTTGGCTACCAGTATTTCTGGCGGATCTCCTCATAGGTCGGTCTAGACGCCAAGTGGCCTCCAGATGATACGTGGTCGTGATAGGCGTGCAGTACTAGTCTGGTAAGAGCCTGAGGCAACACTAATTGGTCACCAAACGTACTACGTTTCCGGAGGTAGCCTGGTAAATACGATTTAAACAGTAATCCATCACGCACGAGGTAGTATGACATGGCAGTGATTGTCTCGTCATCAGGTAATTGGGCGTCAGTTTTTGAAAGGTAGTCGACATAGGTGCCATATTCAAGAGCTTGTTTCTCACGCAAGACATCGCGGTTAATTGTCTCAAACACATTGGTCGCGCCAATATACACTGATTTCTCAGCGAATAATTCGCGATCACCTTGAACTGGTTGCAAGTTATCCAAACGATCTGCAGATACTTGATACGGACGTGGTGGAACATTTGTATGCAGCGCAGGGTCATGAGGCACATTCCTGCACATCGGTGCAAGTTGGCGGTGCTTCCAACTGTTGTTGGTGATCAAACGCAAACAACCGAGATAGGGTGTCTGGGACTACATGTAACTTTCCCGGCTTGTGTCGCACGGTGAAGTCAAAGGACTGCAAAGCATGCCCATCTGGTCAGCATATTAGACGTGTCTTGCATAGTGTACAAATATTTCAATGCCGCGTGATCCGTGACAACTTCGTAGTGTCTGCCCCACAAGTGGGGTCGCCAGTGTTGTAAGGTTAATACCACACCGTAACATTCCTTCATCGTCGCAGAGTAGTGACGTTGAGCTTTGTGAAATCGTTGGCAAAAATAAGCGATAATATTCACATCGTCGCCGTTCTTTTGGCCCAGGGATGCTCCTGCGCCAACTTCACTAGCATCTACGTGAACCACGAAGTCTTTAGTAAAGTCAGGGAATATAACACAGGTGCTTTGCTGAGTAAACGTTTGATATCTGCAAAAGCCTTGTCATGTTCCTCGTTCCAACGTTTCGCGATCGATTTTACATGCTCTTTTGTGTGAGTTCGACCAGCGGTGCGATCACCGTAGAAAGGTCGGGTATAAATTTCCTCACATAGATAAACCATTCTCAACACTGAGCGAAGTGCTTTGATTGTTTTGGGTACAGGCAAGTCGATANTGAAATCGTTGGCAAAAATAAGCGATAATATTCACATCGTCGCCGTTCTTTTGGCCCAGGGATGCTCCTGCGCCAACTTCACTAGCATCTACGTGAACCACGAAGTCTTTAGTAAAGTCAGGGAATATAACACAGGTGCTTTGCTGAGTAAACGTTTGATATCTGCAAAAGCCTTGTCATGTTCCTCGTTCCAACGTTTCGCGATCGATTTTACATGCTCTTTTGTGTGAGTTCGACCAGCGGTGCGATCACCGTAGAAAGGTCGGGTATAAATTTCCTCACATAGATAAACCATTCTCAACACTGAGCGAAGTGCTTTGATTGTTTTGGGTACAGGCAAGTCGATAATAGATTTTATACGATCTTCCCCAATGCGAATCCCTTGTGCAGACAGTATGTGCCCCAGGTGTTTTACTTCCTGTGGTCCAAATTGTACTTTGGAGGGTTTCAAGGTAAGACCAGCCGCTTGGAGTGCTTGGAGCATGCTTTCTAACAAGGTTAGATGGCTCTCCCAATTTGAGCTGCAGCAACTAATGTCGTCCATATACACCAAAAGTCCACTGCGTGGTCCGAAGTGAGAGAATGCCAGAGACATGATACGGGCAAATAGAAAAGGAGCATTCGCAATTCCGAAGGGAAGGCGTTTGGAAACCCATTTCCCTTTGTGTGACACAAAAGCGGTCTTTTCTTGTTCTGCTCCGTCTACTTCAATTTGGTCGTAGGCTGACTGGATATCGCAGACAGTAATAAATATTGCACCTCCAACGGTATCATTATGGGATTCTTTATCTGACATGAGCCAAGATTTTCGAATTAAACATTGGTTAAATGTAGAGCGGTAGTCAACGCAGAATCGAGGAGTGCCATCAGCTTTTGCTACGATGGTAACAGCAGATCCCCACGAACTGGGTCTCTGTTCAATAATCTCCTCGTCTTCCATTTGTTCCACACACGTGTCGATAACTTCTTGTGCTCTAGGATTAGTAAGATAGGGAGCACGATCGACTGGTTTAGTGCCTGGTTCTAGCGGAAAATCTGCCTTGGCTATCCTGCATTTTCCGAGCTCCTTCGGAGATAATGAAAACACATCACGGTATTTCGCGCATAAATCCAAGACTTGCGAGCATTGTTGAGGAGTAAATGTAGTGTTCGTGAACACTTTTTTCATGGCTCGTTGCAACTCGTCCCGCTTGTGTCTGAATATGGCTTGGTCGCTATTGACAGCGCTGACTGTATTATCGGCAACTGATTTTACTGGCGAAATGTACCCTAAAAAAGTGTCGCGTGCAATGTGAACGTGTCGTTTGGATGGATTAGCAACTTGTACTGCAGCAGACTTGTCCTTTGCTGACCAATTGCATACCGTTCTAGCGACTACGATTGTACGGAACGCTTCGGGCATATTTTCAGACATTTCGATGTCTTCGGTAGTGACAATCCGTGGTTCTATCAACGCAGGCGTGCTTGCCTGTGGTGCATGTTCTGTCACGACGTCTACTGCCATTTCACTTTCGGGGAGGATGCAGAACCTCCTAGAGAGACATACGGGCACCGCTCCTATCGATGGGTCAAGCGTCACTATGGAAATTTGCGTGGGGGCATCATTACTAGTGTCCGCTTGACTATTCGTACGTCTGTGAGTTGCCGGAAATTTTCTTGTTGAATCTTTAAGTGAAAGCTGCTCACCGCACCAATCAAGGACGGCACCAAAGGCATTCATAATGCTAGTATCGAGCAACATCTTATGCGGACCTGGGTTGGACAACACGAGGGCCTCCACTGGTGGTATGATATCTCCCAGTGTGAGCCTAAAACGGATGTATCCTAGGATTTCTAATGCTGATCCGTCTGCGCTATTCAACTGAATTGCGCCAGGAGGCACAGGTTTCAGAGGTAAACGTTTCAGGACTGGATGCGATTTAATAAAAGACGCTGGTATACACGGTACATCAGCTGCTAAGTCGATAGTGAGGTCAGACACAGCGTGATGACAAACTCGCGCAGGAATTCGCATTCTCTTGCAGGACGAATTTAACGCATTCAGGTGTTGTCGATATTTACTCAGTGCTGACGCATGAAACGCCGCATAAGTGGGTCCACCACTCGATGCACTTGAAACAGAGGCACGTTTTTCCGTGTTATGATAAAATGGCATACTACCAGTCAGTACCAATTCAGCTTGCGGGGCTAACCTAGAAGTCGGCGCACGAGTGCGTTTGTTCTTCCTATTTTCCCTTGCGTTGCTACTTGATTGACTATGAAACGGTGCCGGGCAGCTGCTACCGATGTCTCAAAATTACTGCTAAAATCTTGAACCGACTTCACATCACCTCCTGTTACCCGAGGAAAAAATGATTCCCTCGATTTGCTACAGTCATGCACATGCGGGGCTGAGTCGACTCGGGCATCCTGTGCTACATGAGTTTCCTCAGCTAATTGTGTGCTATCAACCTGTCTCCCTACGAGCGAAGAGTCCCGTGAAGGGCCCCGTCATGCTTTAGTCCAAGTCCATCCCTTGTCCTGAGCGTGTTTCTTCTTCAAACTGCACTGTTCGAGGGGGTGGTTGAACTTGCACCCCGGGTAGGGGCACGGTTCTTCTTTCGTTGTTGAGGAAGAAGTGCCTTTCCCCGTGGTACGCGCTTTTTTAGGGGCGCCCTGACTCGCTAGGTTGTTCTTGCTCGACGGCCTCATCGACTTGAGCCGGGTGACCTCAGCTTGCAGGTCTTTGATAACCGCCGTGCTCGGAGACACGGTCTGCTTCAGCTGTGGGGGTTCAGGATACGCGACAGCAGATACGGTGTCGGATGTGGGTGACGCTGCGCCTCTCAGATTATTGGCCTCGTGTTTTTTCGCGCGAAGCCTTGCGTCCTGAAATGAGTTTGGGGGGTCCTCTCGAATACACTCTACTCTAATGTGAGGTTTCAGGCCGTTCTCATATGTGGCGGTCATGAAACGTCCCATGCGTGTTCGTAGTGGCTAATGTGGGGGGGACCTGAACGNGCTCGGAGACACGGTCTGCTTCAGCTGTGGGGGTTCAGGATACGCGACAGCAGATACGGTGTCGGATGTGGGTGACGCTGCGCCTCTCAGATTATTGGCCTCGTGTTTTTTCGCGCGAAGCCTTGCGTCCTGAAATGAGTTTGGGGGGTCCTCTCGAATACACTCTACTCTAATGTGAGGTTTCAGGCCGTTCTCATATGTGGCGGTCATGAAACGTCCCATGCGTGTTCGTAGTGGCTAATGTGGGGGGGACCTGAACGAGCAGCCCTGCAAGGAGGCGTGTGCGGGCTTGAGTAACTTTGAGCGCAAACCCGTCCACTGTCGTCTCTCCTTCCTGCCTGAGAACTGCTATTTCTCTGGCTAATACCGCAAGGCGGTTGGGCGCGGAGAAATGAAAGTTGAAAGCATGACAGTATTCGTCCCAAGTTGCCGGTGCTCGTGGCCTTACAACTTGTCCTGCGTTCCGAAGTGCGGTCAACCGGTATGCCGATCGCCATTCGAGAGTACCACTAACTAGTTCTACTAGAGTGTTATAGGCTTGGCCTCGAATGACACAAGGGGAGGAAATGAATCGCTGGTTGGTCTACTACAGATTTGGGCGGGTCGTCTGCTGCAACAGAGGCTAGTTTCACACGTGCTCGGTATCGGGTCAGTATCTCAACCTCCTGGTTTCCCCGAAAACGATATTTCTTTCGGAAGGTCGTTCTGGCGAAAAGTAAATTTCTGGGTGTGTCCCGATGTATGTGTTGAGGTAGGGGTACTTGTTGTGGACATAGAAAAATGCGCAAGCGGGGGTGTAGACAGTGCTACAGGGTTGCTAGGCCTAAATCAGGGGCTAGGCTGCGAGGATGGACAGGTGTGTTCTGAGTGACAGCAGGCCAGATTGGTTGACGGAAAACTAGGTCGGGGGAGGTGCTACCTCCACTGCTCTAACTTCCCTCAACTGGTATACTGCTACGTGCTGTCGAAGAAGTATTCACCTGGGCCACCTCTGCTGCAGAGGCCGGAGTCGTGGTGGAGGGAGTTGCGGTAGGTCGGAAGAGGGACACCAGCCACTCGGATGGATTGGAGTGCTCGGTCCAGTGGTGTGAGAGCATTTCAGCAAACTGGCCCCCAGCGGAGGTCATCAGCGCGTGCCGATCGTCCGCGGGCACGTTCTGCGACCGGAAGCCCTCGATCAACTGGTGCATGACGTGCCGGTCGCTCTCGTCGCCACACTCCGCTTGGTCGCCGTCATTGTCGTTCTCGTCACTGCCGTCCTCTGTCCCCTCGGGGGTAGCGCCTTTCTCCTCGCCGGTGGCTGCCTCGGCCTCCTCGGGAATCGGCTCCTGTTGGGAGCGATCTCCCCGAGAGGGACGTTGCACGGACACACGCTGAGAAGGGGTGCCCCTTCCCGGTGGGGTAGAGATCGACGGTGACGGGGAAACAGTGCAGGCGAGCTTTTTCCGCAGCTCCTCCAGCTCCCGCTCCTGGTTCGCCAGCGTCGCATCCCTTTCAGCTACGAGTGCCGTCGCCTCCTTGACTTGGTCGCGCAGCTCTTTTTTTCGCTGTGAAGAGCTTGTCGTCATTTTTCTCTTTTCTCGGTGTTCACTCCACCCTACAGTAGTCACGGCGGAGCCGTTTCTTCGTCGACGCCAGTGTGGACCCTGGCAACTGTCGGAGACAGAGGCTTCTACCCTCTTCTCCTCGTTTACATATCACGAGAGGAAATAGCGTTCCCCTGGCAATGGGATAATACTGCCAAGGCACCAGCCTCTGTCTCCGACAGTTGCCAGGGTCCACACTGGCGTCGACGAAGACACGGCTCCGCCGTGACTACTGTAGCGAGGAGAGAACGCCAAGAAAAGAGAAAAATGACGACAAGCTCTTCACAGCGAAAAAGAGAGCTGCGCGACCAAGTCAAGGGAGGCGTTGTCGTAATTAAATCTACAGTACTTGTAGTCTAGCAGACTACTGTCGAGCCAACTGCATACCGCTGTACCTGGGTCGAGGACACACCACTTGTGAGCCGACGATAATAACAGACGTATCACCAAGCACGCGCACCAGTGCCATCTTTTTTGTGTTCGAATGTTTCACGATGACCCCCCCCCGTATCCAGAGCATGTAGATGAAAGGCTGTGAGATACTGACTATCCCACTGCCTACTGATTGTAGCACGTTGTGAAGCTTCTACTTTATCACGAACTAGACAATCGAAGGGTGTACAAAGGTTCGGCGCTTCGACGCTTCGGCGTTGCGCTGAATTTTTGACCGTCTCGGCGCTTGCACCGAAATATATTTCGGGTTGGGGCCAATTCGGTGCAAACCCACACCGCCGACGTTGTGGCTGATGGCTGACAACATCATCACCGTACATGCACTCCCCAGACCTGAAAAATAATTAATAAAAATCACACAACACCCCAAATAATTAATCCCCAAACCTGAAAAATAATAATTATACAGAATGTGTGTTTTATCATTCAATATTAATTATTTATTGTGCTTTTGTGTTTTATATCAAATATTACATTTTTGGGGGGGGGGTTGGAGGACAAGTGTACTCCCCAAACCTGAAAAATGAAAAAATAAAATCCCACACCCCAAATAAATTAAAATTGTGCCCAGTTTTGTCCACTGACGGGTTGGCGACTCTCTTTAGCGGAAAATGTAAATCATTCTTAGTTAGGTGGTTTGATGTACGTACGCGGTGGGGGTGTGATATACAGGACGTGCGATCTGATTATTAGGGAGCTGCGGTGCCCCCTGCGCCTTGGGCTCTCCTGCTCACCTCTGCCTCGGGTTCCGGGCATGTCAACACGGCTAATGAATATGACCCGACGACTTTTTTCACACCCTCTGAGAAGAAGCGAACTCTACCTACCTACATATACAACGTGTCGCTGAGAGGGTGGGTAGCACATGGGAATGGGGAAGAGAGAGAGAGAAAAGCTGTTTGCTTGGTGTATCTTGTTCTGGACGGCCGTACGCACTGGTTCTCTGCGACGGATAGAGATCACACTTTTTGATAGACAGGAAATATCCTCACTTATACGAGACAAATATTCCGGTGTGGAGAGCTTCCGCCGCTGACAACCACTGCACGCGGCCGGACATTCCAAATGTGGCTACAAAATTCGCGTACCATGCATCATCGATGTATGCCAGCACCGGTATGCCCCGGGAGCGTAGATACGCCGCCTTAGCTTCGCTCAGGGAATGATAGCACACCGGGCTCTCATTCCATCCGAACGGAATCGTAGTACACACATTACCAGAGGAAGGGCCATGGCAAACAGTCCAGCGCGGTCCATGTCCTCGATAGAGGCACCATCGTGGTGGCACACTCGCGAGAGGGCAATAGTCGGCAACGAGCCGAGCGTGGCGCTGCTGTCGTAGCAAACGAACTCCTTCACCGCCTTCCCCGAGTCCACGGTCGTGGCCGCGGCCAGCTGAGCTTCGGTCAGCTGCATGGTAGTATGCTGTTCTTCCTACCGTACTTCCTCGCTAGGGTTGGGAAGGCTTGTCACGAGTGTGTGCTCGCTCCGAGTCTTCTTTGCAGGCAATCTGTTCTAATCTGCAGAAACCCTTCGCGGCTCCATGATTTCGACATTTTTTTACTACCAATCAATACGAATTCATTCTTCTCGTGCTTGGCGTTTGATCTTGTTCGGATTCAAGTTCGGGAATGAATGTGGATAGATATTATTAGGTGGCCCTTGTAAGCCTTCCAACCGTAGTAGGTTGTGTTAGTGTGCACTGCCGCCCTCAGCGATCTGTGGTGTTGAGACTGGGTGCTATGCTATAGATGAAAAAGGACCATGTATTGTATATCCGTCACGCAAGCCCCTAGGCAAGCTGGAAACCAACACGCAAGCCCCTCAGGCAAGTGCCGGGAGCACACACACTCTCCTGCCCCCTCGGCCTGCTCCCCGACCGGGGCCGAAATCGACCTAGTGAGTCCCTCGCGGGCGAACCAGGACACAACAGATAGTAGGCGGGTGGTGTCCCAAGGTGCAACTCCCCGCCGCGCTGGCTCAGCGTGGCGGTGAGGATGCACAGACGGTGGTAGTGGCGAGAGGTGTGTATGGACACTGTTCCCGCGGCAGTCATGCAAAGCGGCAAACTGCACCTGGCAACCACCGTCGCGGAAAGCGTGGCCCACGAAGCTGGAGGAGTAGAGTGATTCGCGAACACCACGTCAGTAAGCACCGCTCGCGGGAGAAGGGAGATAACCGCGGGCACCGCGGGGAGGGAGTGCTGCACCCTCCTCGTCAAAACACCACAGGCAAGAACCGGGCTCTGCAGAGATGGATTGATGCGAGGAAACTCGCCGCCCGGAAAATACGGAAGAAAGCACACCCGCAACGCGAGGCGGACCGAGAGAGACACGAGGCAGCAGCGGCCGTCAAGGCGGCTGCGAAGAAGAAGGCACGAGAGGGCGACCTATCGTTCGGCACGTTCAACGTACGCACGCTCGCCTACAGCGGTAGGAACCCCATCGGTCACAACGTGATGACGGTCATGCAGATTTGTTCCGCGACCGGCTGTGATGTGATAGAACTTCAGGAGACCCAGCGAGACGGGCAAGGTTCAATTGCACACGACGGGTACGTGATCATCTGGAGTGGCGCCCGTGCTGGTACCAAGGACAAGTGGGGCGTAAACGGTGTGGGCATAGCGATCAAGGCGGCCATGTGGGCGAGTGTGGGCGAGGAAGGTAGGACGGTAGAGTGCATTAGCCCGAGGCTGATGAAGGTGCGTCTACAAATTGGCCGCACCT